TTTTTTTTTTTTTTTTTTTTTTGAGGAGAAAGAAAGAGTTTATTAATTTGCCAGCAAATGAGGAGGTTGGCAGACTCCCGTCTGAAAGTACCAATATCCTACTATTGACTTTTCTTAATGATGTCTTTGTAGTATAGCGTTTTTAATTTCAATGAAGTATAACTTATTTTTTTATTGCTCATGCTTTTATTGTGTCTAAGAACTCGTGGCTAACCCAAAGTCATAAAGATGTTTTCTTACATTTTCTTTTAGAAGTTTTGTATTTGGGGCATTTATAATTAGTTTGTGATTCATTTTGAGTTGATTTTATGTATATAGGGCGTAGGGTCGAGTTCCGTTCTTTTTTTCTTTATTTTTGTATACAGATATCCAATTATCCTGTCTCCATTTGTTGAAAAGATTGGGCAAGTACCTCTGAGCAGTGCAGGCTGCACATGCACAGAGCCGCGCTGCCAGCAGTCAGACTGCACGCGGTTGAGCAGGCAGTGATGAGCGCGCTGGTGCTGAGAGCGAGCAGAGAAAGGACGGGCCTTGGAGTCCAGGCAATGCCTTTTGGAGCCACGTTCTGCCCCAGCCGTGCTTTTCTCTGCCGCGCATAGCGCTCTCCGGCACTACGACTCCCAGCATGCACCTCGCGGCCCGGTCCTCCGTGGAGCGAGAAACCCGGACCAACGAGGAAAGGCAGAGCCACGGACTCTGGTACTGAGACCGGCTCCCGCCAACCCTTCTCAAGGCTGTGGTCTCCGCTAGCCGTGCGACACCACGACCCACACACGCCCCCGCCTCTCGCCCGCCTCAGCCTACCTCTCTGGTCTATCCGGACTCGTTTCTTCCCCGAGTTTCCCGCGGGAACTAACTCTTGAAGAGGACCTACCGCAGCCGAGAGTTTGGCAGGCCCAGCCAACCAGAGGCGAGCTTGGGAGCCGAGGCGGGCAGCGGAGAGAGAGCGTTGCGTTTCTCCTGGAAAGAGTGAACCGGACCGGGCTGGGACCCAGAGAGGGTAAGCAGGGGAGCCCGGCGGCGTGCGGAACTGCACAAGCCCTCCCTGCTAGGGTGGGGGCTTCGGTGGTCCAGCCTCACCCTTCAGAAGCCTCCTTCAGGTTCCAGGCCAAGCCTCGGCCACTATGTCCCTCCAGACCCCTCCGGACTCCAGCTGTCTGGATCTGTGGAGGGAAAAGAATGACCAGCTCGTTCGACAGGCCAAGGTAACATGGCTGCTCGGACCCTCACTTTGCAGCCCCAGGATCCCAGAAAGCGGCTTTGCAGATTTACCCTAGCTGATGCGGGAGGGGGGAGCTGAGTTTGACCAAAAAGTGAGAAATGACTGGAAAATGCATCCCTTGCCACTGCTGCAAGGGGAGAAAGAAGGACTGATCCTCAGTGACACCGCCTTCCCCATTTGGCAGGTGGCTCAGGACTCCGATCTGTCTTTGAGGCGACAGCAGTTGGCTCAAGATGCATTGGAAGGGCTTAGGGAGCTCCTCCATAGTCTGCAAGGTAAGCAGGGGTGTCTCCAGGATGGTCAGTTCCCCTCCTCCACAGCCAGAGACCAGTTCCTCTTTTGCATTCCTGGGATTTAGGTGATTACTCAGTGGTCAGGGAGTTCTTTTTAAGGCACAGAGGGGACTGGTGTGGAATTGTCTTTGTACAGGCAAATCCCCTTCCTCCTTACATACACACACACACACACGCACACACACACACAGTGACATTTGAAGAAGTGGTTTCCAGGACGGTCTGATCTAGAGAACTTTCTGCCTTTTCCAGACTCTCTGTCCAAAGGGTAGGTTCTTTATTGAGGCCATTTTGGAGTGGGGTGATCTCTGGCTTGGAATCTTATTTGGAGAATCTTCCATGAGGAAGCCATCTGTAAGACCAGCATTTATTGCTCCCAGGGCTCCCTGCAGCTGTTCCTGTTCTCCCCTTGGAGCTGACTGTCACCTGCAACTTCATTATCCTGAAGACAAGCGTGACCCAGGGTTTTACTGAAGATCAGGCTCTGGATATTCAATGGGGCCTAGAAAGAGGTGAAGACCGGAGATTGCTTCCCATCCCCCTGCTAGCATCAGTCTGGGTTTAAGTTCTTGTAGGGGGATGGGAGGAGCAACAAAACCTGTCACCTCCATGGAGAGAGATGCCATTCCCTGATCCTTCTTGTAATCCTCAGACCAGGTTGAGGTATTATGATTGTGACCTTTGGGCTCCTGCAGAGGAGTAAAGCCAGAGAGTGTGGGGAGGTGGAGGATGAGGTCTCACCTCAGCTGTGTGTACATGCTCTACAGTGCTGGAGACCCAGGAGCAACTGGGGCCCAGGTTGGAACGAGGACTCAGGGACCTGTGGGACTCCGTCCTCTATGCTTCCTCCCTTCTCCCGGAGCTGCTTCCTGCCCTGCACCGTCTTGCTGGCCTGCAGGCTGCCCTCTGGCTGAGCACTGACCATCTTAGGGACCTGGCCTTGCTGCTGCAGACCCTGAATGGCAGCCAGGTAATGGGAGAAATGACCCGGAGCTGAAGGTCTCCTCCTTCCTTCCTCCTCCCTCCTCTCTTCTTCACAGCTGCAGTAGTGTCATTATGTAATGGAAAGGCTGTTGGGTTGGTGGTCAGAAAACCTGGGTTCTCTTAGGCACTCTTGGGTGACCTTGCCCTGGTTGGTCCCTCATTGGGAGGATTCTCTTGGCAGTGTTTTTAAAAACAGCTTAATGAATTTGGGTAACGTTAGGGCGCTTGTGACCTTGCAGAAGTCACCTTCCAGCTTTAGTTGTTGTTTGTTTTTTTTGAGACAGAGTCTCACTCTGTAGCCCTGGGTAGAGTGCAGTGGCATCATCATAAGGTCACTGCAACCTCCAACTCCTGGGCTCAAGCGATCCTCCTGCCTCAGTCTCCTGAGTAGCTGGGACAACAGGTGCTCACCACCACATCCGGCTAATTTTTTCTATTTTTGGTTGAGACTCAGTATCACTCTTGCTCAGGGTGGTCTCAAACTCCTGACCTCAAGTGATCCTCCCACCTCAGCCTTTCAGAGTGATAGGATTACAGGCATGAGCCACCTTACCCTGCCCCAGCCTTAGTCTTATTGGTAACCCAAACATGGTCCTTGCCCCATGTCCTCATGGGCTTGTCCTGAGTGAGGAGGCACACTAGAATAGATCATCACTGCCCCAGATTTTTCTTCCTCTTTCTTACCCCGCAGCTATCCATTTCTTAGAATTGAGGGAATCCCTTGAGCTCAAGGTCCGGCCAGGATAGACTGATACAGAAGAGGGAGTGGTTATGGGCTTGGAGCCTCTGGTTGTCCTTTTCTCCCCAGAGTGGCTCTTCTGAGGATCTGCTATTGCATCTAAAAACCTGGAGTCCCCCAGCTGAGGAATCAGATGCCCCATTGACCCTGCAGGATGCCCGGGGATTGAGGGATGTCCTTCTGACAGCATTTACCTACCGCCAAGGTCAGCCAGCAACCTGACTCATCCCTTCCCCCCTTAAGGGATCCTCTGGACTCATACCTTCTCTGTCATGTCCCATTCAACTTCATGGAACTTCTCTGGGTTCTTGTTCCCCATCATGACCCCTGCCCTATCGGCCTCTCTAAGCTTACACCCTGATTGTGTGATCCTCAGGTCTCCAGGAACTGATCATAGGGAACCTGCCCAAGGCACTAAGCAGCCTGCATGAAGCGGCCTCAGGTCTGTGTCCACGGCCTGTGTTGGTCCAGGTGTACACAGCACTGGGGACTTGTCTCCGTAAGATGGTAAAGACAGCCCTAGGGTCAGCTGGGGGAACCACAGGCATTACTGATAGCACTTTGCTTTGTAAGGGTAGCTGAGGCCTGTGTCCTCCCACCCCTCTAGGGAAATCCACAGAGAGCACTGGTGTACTTAATTGAAGCCCTGAAAGGTGGATCAACCTTAGGTCCTCCACTTCTGGAGGCCTCTAGGCTATATCAGCAACTGGGAGACACAGCAGCAGAGCTGGAGAGTCTGGAGCTGCTGGTTGAGGTAACGAACTGCCAGGTGAATATATGAGGTGGAGGATTGCTGAGGCGCTTGTGTTGGGGTGACTTGACTAGTCAAGATACACTTATAAAGAAGTGTGGTTCCCACAGATTATAGATATACTTTCTTCTTTCTATCTCTTTTAGGCCTTGAGTGTCACCCACAGTTCTGAAGCACCTCAGCTTCTCATTGAGGTAGAACTGCTGCTCCCACGACCTGACCCAGCCTCGCCCCTTCACTGTGGCACCCAGAGCCAGGCTAAGCATCTGCTAGCAAGCCGATGCCTACAGACAGGGAGGTGAGGTTTCCCTTGTTCACCTGAGCTCCTGTTCCCACTTCTTATGCTTCTCCTGGGGTGTGACTTTGCTTTTGTTCTCACGAGTTGGGGGATGAATGAGGCATTGATGGGACATAGGTCCCCACTCCTCAGCCTCCTACCTTATTGCTGAACCTGAACTGAGGACTGTTTACCTGGACACTAACCACTATTATCTTTTAAACTCCAAAGTCTCCTCTATAATCCATTCTATAACTAGGGTAGATTCATACTGAACCAGAGTTGGAGACTCAAGACCCCATCCTCCCCGCTAATCCTCAGGGCCCATGAGCATCCCTCTGTTAGCTAACGGAGAACATTCTCATTGGAACCCTCAGAAGGCACTGCTAAGGGCCTAAGGTGAGGCTCATGGGCTATGACTTCTCAGGGCAGAAGATGCTGCAGAGCATTACTTGGACCTGCTGGCCCTGTTGCTGGATGGCTCGGAGCCAAGGGTGGGTGTGTCTTTAAGCTTCTCTGCAATGGGGTGGGTTTTTAAGCTTCTCTGCAATGGGCTGGAAGGGTTGGGGTCCTCTTTGCAGTAGAGCAGGACTGCTGTTTTCTGTTTTTCTATTGTGTCTGTCTAATCTGGGGGGGGCAGGTCTTTGCATGATACAAGAGCCTGGTGAAGAGGTTGGGGATGGTGGCTCATGCCTCTTCAAGACACTGCCTCCTCCTCCCACCCCAGTTCTCCCCACCCCACTCCCTCCCAGGGCCCTGTATGCCTGAGGTGTTTTTGGAGGCAGCAGCAGCACTAATCCAGGCAGGCCGAGCTCAGGATGCCTTGACTGTGTGTGAGGAGCTGCTCAGTCGTGCATCATCTCTGCTACCCAAGATGTCCCAGCTGTGGAAAGATGATAGAAAAGGAACCAAGGATCTGCCACACTGCCCACTCTGGGTCTCTGCCACCCACCTGCTTCAGGGCCAGGCCTGGGTACAGCTGGGAGCCCAAAAAGAAGCAGTTAGTGAATTTAGCTGGTGAGATCAGGGTCCGGGGGAAATGTGGAGGGATGATTTTCTGACTGGGACCTGAGTTGGTGAGGTCCATTCTCACCTACTCATGCCAGAGTTTCTGATTAATTCCTCTTCACCCCATTCCGTGTCCTACTTCAGGTGCCTGGAGCTGCTTTTCCGGGCCACACCTGAGGACAAAGAACAAGGTGATCTAGACTCTCAATTTTCCTCTTACCTCCTGAGGTGGTGGTGGTAGAAGTGGGTTCCCCTTCCGTGTGTCCCAGATCATGAAGGGACTTAAGGGAATTCCAAACACAAGAAGAAACAGAGGAGGATTTGGGGTTTAGTGACTGTGAGGCTGGGGAGACACTTCTTGACTTTAGGAGTGGTCCCCAGGGGCAGCTTCCAACTGCGAGCAGGGGTGTAAGTCAGATGTGGCACTGCAGCAGCTTCGGGCAGCCGCCTTGATTAGTCGAGGACTGGAATGGGTAGCCCGTGGCCAGGATACCAAAGCCCTACAGGACTTCCTCCTCAGTGTGCAGATGTGCCCAGGTATGTATACTTGCATGATGCTGGCTATGCACAGATGTGCAAGGATAGGGAGGCCTGGAAAGGGAGGTACTTGGGCATAAGTATAAGGGAGGTGTTCCCAGACAGGAGGGACAAATGGGGTTGCGCTGTATATACCTAGGGATATACCCAGGTGTGCACATGCAAACATATACAACTGTGTTTGCAGAGCTCCCAAGAGTTCCCTGGTCTCCCCAATGTCCTAACACACAAAGACCATGATTGTGCTGAATGGGGTTAAGTAGGAGTAGGGCCAGCTGAGCCCTTTGTACTGGACAGATAGTGGATCTTGGGATAGGACAGGTTGTGAATGATCTACCTCTACTTCCATTTGTGAGTGTACGCAAGATACTTCCCTTCTCCAGGCCTCAGTTTCCCTCTTTATAAAAGGATGCCTAAGGCTATGTCAAGTTCTAAGACTCTACTCTGGGGTGGGGCTACAGGTAATCAAGATGCTTCCATTCACCTGCTTCAGACTCTGAGGAGGCTGGATCGGAGGGATGAGGCCACTGCTCTCTGGTGGAGGCTGGAGGCCCAAACTAAGCTGCCACAGAAAGATACTACATGGTGAGGCTGAGGCCTGCTGGCATGGGGCTGAGGGTCGTTGGAGTCCTGGAGTCCTTGGACCTGTTGGGGGTAGTGAGAAATGGAAGGGAGGATATGGCTGCCCATATCCTCCACTAGTCTTTCATTCTTAGGCGTCACTCTTCTTGCTCTCCAGGTCTCTCCCCCTGTACCTAGAAACCTGTTTGAGCTGGATCCGTCCCTCTGATCATGAAACCCTCCTTGAAGAGTTTCGGATATCTGTGCTGGAGCCTCGTGACCTGTAGCTGCCACATTTCCAAGAGTTTAAACTGGGGCCCCAGTGGGCCATCTCTCTGTGTGGAGGGCTTTCTGCTTTACCATCCTTGGGGAGTATGGCTGGAGCTGACCATTCCTATATAATTCGTGCACTAATGAGTCTGGTGGTAGTCCTGCAAAATTTGGACTAGTTACTACCATTCTGCTTCTGGAGGAAACACTCTCTGCCACCAACAAGTCATTGACTTTGCTTGTGGCACATTTTTTGTGGTTTCCCCTTTTCTTGGTTGAGTAAAATCTCCTATTTATCTGTTGTCTGTCTACTACATATACTTGAGTGGAAAGGCTGCCTGGTTGAGTGCTGGTTGTCTCAGATGCCCTCTCTCAACATTATCTACCTTATAAGCTTGAGGTCTGGATATGAGGAAAGGGTATAGGAATCCTCACTCAGAAAGCAGTGGCTTTAGTCCTTTCCACTGCCTGAAAGCAGAGCTCCAAAGCCCAGGTTCCTGTGCTAGGTGACAGAGAGTGGAGTTAGGTCTGGAGGATGGTTTAAACAGGCCTCTCAGGACAAGGGTGGGTACTTGAGACTCACTGCCTCCCTAATCCCAAATGCTAGAAACTGGACCTGTCTCAGTCAAATGTATCTGTATGCATAGGGGTGAGAGGTGAATTGAGTCAGCATGCCACCAAGAGCTGCCTATTGATTACAGTTGGGGCCAGCTGTCATTTTGAGCCCAAGGACTTCAAGTCCTAGCGTGCAATTTTCTTGCTGATTTGGGTTCTGTTGTATCTGAGCTGTGTTCTGTGGTTGCCCTGTGACCTCTCTGGACTTGATTGCCTTCTCTTCTCCAGTCATTAATTCCCTATCGTAAGGGGAGCATGCACCCACAAGTGTTTAGAAACTGCATAGCCCCTGGGATTAGGGTTACTATCGGTGTGCAATGACAGTAGGGTGGAGTGGAGTAAGAGCTGGGGCGCTAGGCATAGGGGTCAGGGTAGGGGTGATTGGAGCCAGCATTTTGAAGGAGCATGGAGCATGGTTATGGTGATTGATGACGGAGTTTTAAAGGATCCCCAGGTTTTGGAAGAAAGTGGATGTACAGATTATCATTACAACAGGACTGGACTAATACAGGGGTTCGATCCATTGTGCCATGTTCTTCCAGGAGGATAAACTCAGGAACCAATGAAGTGGAGCCAAGTGGGGGAGTACGCCTCCAAAGGATTAAAGGCTCTCCTTTCACTAGTCAATCTCGCCCTATTCCTTTCGTTGATTGGTCGAGAATCCCAATCCATCGAGGAAGCGTAGCGTTGCGGCCAATTGACGTGGCGTTACTAGGCGTGTTGCATCCCTGAGGCGGGAGCCAGGCCGCAAGCGAATTTCCTGATTGGCTATGGTTTGCGGGTTACTGGGGAGAGGCGCAGAGGGGCGGGCGGGAGTCCCTAGGGCAGGCGCTGATTGGCTGAGGTGAGAGCGGCTTTCCTTCCGATGATTCGGCTCTTCTCGGCTCAGTCTCAGCGAAGCGTCTGCTGCCGTCGTTTGAGTCGCCGCTGCTGCTGCCACCTCGCGGATCAGAAGCCTGCGTTCCCCGCCCGCTGCCCCGGTGCCGCTGGGAGGAAGCGAGAGGGAGGCCGCCTGCGGGTTTATCGCCGCTGCTCGCCCCACCGCCCGGGAGAGCCGAGCCCGGGCCCACTCAGTCGCTTGCCACCCCTCGTAGCCGTTACCCGCGGGCCGCCACAGCCGCTGGCCGGGAGAGGCGCGCGCCATGGCTTCTGGAGCTGAGTGAGTGCGCGCGCCGCCCGCTCGCTGCGGGGGCGCGCACCGCGGAACCCGCCGCGTTGGGTAGGCCCGACTGGGCCTGGCCGTGGGCGCGTCTGAGAGGTGGAGACCAGGAAAGAGGGAGGGAAGGAGAAGAAGGGAGCGAGTGAGGGGCCGCAGGCCCGGCTGGGCCCGGCTTGTCCCTGCTATTGCCTGCTGAGCACCCGCGCGCCCCCTAGGCGGGGCTTGCTTTGGGCCCGGGTCGGAGCCTAGGCCAGATCGTGCTGTGTCATGCAGGCCCCGGCCGGCCTGATTGGCTCCCTCGGAATGGCCGACCCAGCCTAGCGAGGTCTTCCGGACCCCACTGCCGGCGCGGAGCCCCGGGACCTTGGGGTCCCCATCTACGATCCAGCCTACCACCCGCTGAAGGCCTTTGGTCCCCAGGGAAAACAGGCCCCGCGAGCCCGAGGCCCCAAGTGGGCCCGGTGGGCGTGGACTTTGGGCCACGTGAAGGCCTCAGAAACCCCGAGACTGAGGCAGAGGCCGGGGCGGGGAAGGCCCGGCGAACTCAGGGAAGCTCACAAGCATCCTTTTTGGGGCCGAGTCGGCCTGGCCCTAGGTCGGCATCCTCTGAGACCTGAGTAGTGAGGGTTTCACTTCTGGCCTTCGTACTTTAGCCCTGTTCACGCAAGAAAGTTTTAGTCAGTTTTCCTTGTTGTTATGACCTGGGGGTGGGGAGAAAATAAGTCTTCTGTAATATTTTAGGTTCTTGCTAAAGTTCGACTCTCAGTTCGTATTTTATGGGTCTTCCTAGAGTTCATGTTTCCTGGTGTGCAGGTTGGAGTTGCCCTACAACACACACACGCCCCTTTCCCCAACAGCTCTGTTGAGAAATTCTCTCAGCTTTCTGGCCCCACCTCCATCCCTCAGGAAAGCATCTGATGAAACCTGGCCACCTCAGCCAATTCAGTTTAGAATGGAGAGTTTTAGATGCTGAACAAAACACAGCCTATGGAAACTCTTCTATGCAAATCACCTCCCTGCCTTGAAGAGATTAGTTTTTTGAGGTGTTCCTTTTTCTAACAAGTTTCTGAATCGAGATGAACTATTACTCAGTTGCTTATTTAAAAGGACCACTTATTACTACTTAGAATATTTTCTTAAGTTATATCCAGTCAATCTTTTATTTTCAAGAATAAAAATAAAAAATTAAAATAATTGGAACCTGGTATGATAGGTGGTTTCTAACCTTTAGTTCATCTTTGATGACTCTTACCTCAAAGTCCCCTGTGGCCTGTTGGGGTTCTGGAAAGGGCCTGTCTCATGCAGATGACCATGGGAATGTTCCCAAAGACTGTCTAGAACTGTTGTCCCATGGTCAGGCTGAATTCTCTCTTCTGATCTTTGTAGGTAGATTGGGAATTAGAGGTCTTTACCCTAAGGAAAGGGCATACCAGTCATCTCCAGAGCCAGGGTCAGGAATGGTAGGCTGCATTTCCTAGAATGCAGCTTTTAGATTAAAATGCAAACTGGTGATTAGAAGCACATGACACTTTTTTATTGTCCAGCCTCCGTCCTATAGATCAAGCAGGAATATGATCAGCCCCTGAAAAGGTATTTTGATGGATCAGGAGTGAGAACCGTTTGGTTGGCATTGCCCTTAGCTGTCGCATTGCCCAGGCTTAACCTCCAGGATGTTGAAAAGCATTGGAAGAGTCTGCTTATTCTGCAGGATTGTGTCCCGAGTGGCAACTTTTGGGTGGGTAGGGGAGCAAGTTTGAGCTGAGGAAACTGTCATTGGAAACAAGTTTAGAAGCAGTGGTTAAAGATGCAGCCTATGTGTGAGAGTCAACATAAAGCTTACCACTTTGTTAGATGAATGGGGTTTGTATTTCTGTTGGGTGTATCAAGACCAAAAGATGTAAAAATCCTATATGGCTCCCTAGCTGGTATTCTAGAGCACAATTTTTCTTGCAAATTGTGAAGATATTTCCAGTGAGTATACTGTTTGTCCCATTTTGTTGACTTCTGTGTCCCCAGCCCGTACAACAGTGCCTGGCACATAATAGACATGCATTAATTTGTTAAATGAAGAAATAATTTTCTAAAAATTTATTTTGTTTGCTTCTTCCATTGTTTGGCCTCTCTATTTTGTTTAACGCTCATGTTTTCCTGAGCCTTACTAAGAGGAGGTAGTTCTTCTAAGGGAGAGCTCATTGAGTCTGGTAAGTGGAGGCTTAAAATGAGCTAGGTACAAAATTGATGTCACTGTCCCAGTGAGTGATCCTAGCTTCTAGGAAATGATAGAAACATGGTGGCTCATGCCTATAATTCCAACACTCTGGGAGGCCAATCCTAGAGGATTGCTTGAGGCCAGCTTGGGCAACAAAGAGAGACCCTGTCTTTATAAAAAATTAAAAAGTTAGCTGGGCATGGTGGCATGTGCTTATAGTCCTAGCTATTCGGGAGGTTGAGGTGGGAGGATTGCCTGAGCCCAGGAGTTCAAAGTTACAGTGAGCTATGATAGTGTCACTGCACTCTAGCCTAGGCCACAGAGCAAGAGCCTGTCTCTTAAAGAAAAACCAAGTTTAGACCTAGGCAACCTTGATTTGGGTGAGGAATTAAGGTTTGCCCCAGTTCTCAGCATTTCTTGGTTTTGACTTTTTGAACCAACTCCATGGAATTGTGTGCCTTTGCAGAAATTACTGTGAACCTCCTTTTGAGCTTGAGCCTCTTTCTGAAGGTTCAAGATCTATTAGCATCCCCTCTCCCCCACCCTCCATATGATGGTCTTTGTGCTTAGCATTCCTTTGGTACTATGGAATGCTCTAGCATTCAACAGGTTTAGCCTGTGAGAAGTGTAGTGCTAATGATTCTGCTTCTTTGTCCCCAGGCTTGCCTGGTAGGACTTGAGACCTCCCTGACGTATAAAGGAAGTGATTTTATTCTCCTGCAAGGTTAGCAAAGAAAGAGCTTGTGCTTTGCTCTGTAGTGCTAATCATGGTGATCATTAATACCATGTGCCAGACATTGTGTTGAGCACTTTACATTCATCATCTCCCTTTAGACAATAAGCCTTTGACATAGGTGTTACTACATCTGTCATTTTACAGAGAAGGACATCAAAAGTCCAGAGAGGTTAGCTAATTTGCCCATGATCACAATTGAACTGTGACAGGGTTGGGATTCAGACCCAAAAGGTCTGACTATAGAGCCCTGCTCTTTTTTTTTTTTTTTTCCAGAGCCCCTGCTCTTAGCCACTATTCTATATAATCTAAGACTACTTTCATTTCTCTAATTGCTACACAGCCTCCACTTCTATCTATCATGACTTCTTAGGCCATAGTTTTCTGACCCTGGGGTAGGATCACTCACTTGGGGCCTTATAGCTGGGACATTAGTGCACAAAATACCGAGAGCTACTGGAATGAGTATTGTAACATATACTAGATATTGCTTTTCATGACCTTGGCTGAATTTCCTTCATCTTAGCACTCTGGAATACTGATAGCTTCATCTATTCACTATTTCTTTCCTAAGTGTGAG